TGCCACCGCATTTAGGATTTAGTTTTACTAAAAGAAAAAACTAGAAATAGGGGGTCTGACTTAAAGTAAGAAATGTAGTCAACGTGTGCTCTTCTCACTTTAAGCTCATTCTCCGATAATGAAAGAAAGAAAATGTGCTGCGTCCTCATGTGCTAGTATCATGAAAGAGAGGAATATTACTTATGAGTTCAGAGCTGCAATTTGACTATCAATATTAATTACGGGTTTTGGACTCCTCTTTAATCAAGTCAGCTTCACTGGTTAAATTGACTGTTTTTATTAATTTACACTTAGTTTTCAGTTAACACAAGAACACAGAGATAACATCACAACTGCACTGTTATAAAGTTAAAAGGCCTTTGTGTTTCATTACCAGGTAAAAATTTGGGGGCTAGGTGTCTCACAGAGGATGCTAAACAGCCACTGGCCTTTTTATTTTGGTCTTATTAACAGAAATACTGCCTTAGTGAAATTATAAGCATAGGCCTCTTAATTAAGCTTCCTAGGAGTCTGAACTTTTACTTTCAATACCAAATAATATCTGGAACACATGCTCACTTTTGTGTTTTTTTAGAAATTCTAAGAATTGGCCCAGATTCATATGATAGTCATTCCTTAATCCATAGTCACCATGGGCCTCAAGGAGTAATTCTTCGAAAGAATGGAAAAGGCGCAGATCCTCTCCATCTCCTTCGGTTTCGACACTTTCAGCATGCTTACAGGAAATGTGTTTCCAGTTGGGATACCTAATTGTGTGCCAGAATTCCTCACAGTGCTCTTTGAAGCCCTCCACACAGATTATACCCGGCTTTCCTGTCATGCAAAATCCAGTCACATCTAACCTTTTCCCGACATCCAAAATCTTTTTTCTTAGGTCCTGCTGATATATGTGGTGACTGTAGATCCACATTCGGAGGAATGTGTTCTTGACTGGCTTTGCTTGTGTAGATGGTTCGTAAACAAGCTTTCTGTTCAGGAAATAGGAGGCACTATTGTCCTGCAACCACTGGATTGCCGCACATACACAGAGCTCACCTGGATCAAAAGTCCCTATATAAGAAGTGAGACCTTTGTTGAGAAGTAGTTGCTGTTGTCTGTCAAGCTCAGACGACCGTCCAAATAGCTGCAATGCTGCATAGGGGTAGCTGTGAGGCATGGTTACTTGCAAATCAATTTTCACCTTAAAATGAAAATCAAATAGATTTAAGTACCATAAAATCACCTAAGCTAGTTTATCAGTGGCAACAGCATGATTTTGATAAATATAAGTTATTGCTACTATTAAGTGTCAGCTATGGGCCAGAAACCGCACTGAGAATGTCACATGCACTATTCCTTCCATTTATGCATTCATGCATTCCAATATTTATTGAACACCCGCCATGTGTCAGGGACCCCATGCTAGGATAAAGAAGTGAAGAAGCTAGACACAATTTCTGCTATTCATGAAGACTAGAGCCCAGTGAAGGAGACAGACATTAAACTAATAATTACACATCACAAGTACTTAATTTCAATGGTGAGAAGAACAGGGATCCGCTGAAATGTGTAACCAGTGAGACAAAAGTCAGTCTGGGAACCAGGAGATCTTTGGTGAGGGAATGACAGCTGAAGGATGAGCAGGAAATCACTAGAGGAGGGGTTCTCAAAAGCCTAGTCCACTTGTTACCTATGATATGCTCATGTTGGTGGAGACAATGGATCAGAAGATGAAGGTAAATTCATTTTTAGTATTTAGATTTCCTGTCTGTATTTGCTTTGTGTCATGGTACCAACCAAAGAAACATTCATCCACTCAAGTCAGTTTTGCTAAAGGTAATACCTAGATTTATAAAAATTATAATACATGTACAAGACAGTACATACTACAAGAGTTGGAATGGTAAAAATCTGGTAGAGTGAACAGAATAATAATGGTAGTATGAGACTGCAAGATGTTTTTAATAAAAACCACTTTTTTAATAAAAACATATTTGTTAAAAAGATTGCATGTTTATGTAAAATTCAAGATATTTATTGAAGACAATTTACAGGGCATCCCATATTTTACATATTTCACTTTCAAACAAGTAAAGGATATACGAATCTGGAATATTCTCTATTTGCTTCCTGGACAGAAATCTCACGTTCCAAGTGTTTCCACTAAAAACCGGGCCCCCGGCAAAAATGAAAACAACTCACGGTACTTACTTTGGGCTCCTCAATCTGGAGGGTAATCACAAATTCGATTTTTGGCGGCAGCGCCTCCCTTGTGCCTTCCAAATATCGCTTTATATTCGTCAGGACATTTACATCTTCAAGTTTTACTTCTCCTTGGTTAGGAAACATAGAAAACAGCATTTCCATCTCTAGCAGCTGAAGCTGCAGGCATTCTTTCATTGAAGAAGACATGTTGCCTCGAAATCCACCTGCCAGGAAAACTGGAAAGGCCCAGGGGCACTAGGTTTGTTAATTTCAGCGGTGTCCAGAGAAATTTCCCGAAGGTCCCTTTCCGTGGAAGCAGTTTTGCAGGAACGCTACGCACCGACAGCTAGGGGCACAAACCGGGACACTTACACTCTTTCTTCGCTTTATCTCCCAACCCCCAAATTTAGTATACACAATATCCCTCAAGACACCTCGTTAAAATTCAGATTCCCATTCCGTTATCTCCCCACCCCCACCCCCGCTTCCGATTTAAATCCGGGAATCTGGACTTTCAACAGGTGTTCCAAATTATTCCGTTGCAGGTGGTTGGCAAACACCTGCAGATGCTCTGCAAGCCTGAATTCTAGGAAAGGCAAGGAGCCCAGCTTGCAATCCCACCAGGGTCTCGGGCTTGGGTGGAGCTGCGCCCTGTGGCGAGGGAGGCCCGCAGTCTGGCGAGGCTGTGGTCGCATCCCTTGGCTCCGGGGTCTTGAGGGCCCCGCCGCCCGCAACGCCAGTTGCGGCGCCTAGACCCCAGCGCCAAGGACCCCTCCCGAGCGGGCCTTTACGGCTCACCCGGGAGCCACATCACCCCGGGATGGTATCCTGATAGCTCCGGACGATTTGGGTCCATCTGGCCTGTGTGTCGAGGGGCCCAGGCTAACGGGGAGTCTTACAGGTACATTAATAAAATGTTTAGTGCGAGCTGGTGCGGAGAGATGGGGTGGGGGTAGCGGCTCGAGAAGGCTCCCGGACTCAAAGTTTGGGGAGATGAACCTCGAGGATCTAGAAGGTGATGCGGGAAAAGGGGAGATGGCCGAGGCCACCTTGTCAGAGGCCCCAAATCAGGGTTCGTACCCCCCATCTGGGATCACTAGGAACCCTGGCTTCCCAGGAACGCAAGACTGCCACCCTCTGAGACCCAAATTTGGAGGCGGGGACTGCGTTTTTGCCGGTCACAGTGCTCTGATGGCCCACGACCCTCGGCCCCAACCCCCGGGCCACCGCGGGGGGCCTCACCCTTCCCGGTCATTCAAAGGAAACAGCCCCAAGCCCTCTCAGAACCGGGATCCGCAGTTCCGCAGGCGCGAGTTGCGCATGATCCGCAAGGAGGCGAGGCGGGGCCAGCGGATCCTCCCCCCTCCGTGATTGGCTGGGGGGCGTGGCGATGGGCCGGAAGTCACGCAGCGCCACGTCTGCGGGTTCGGAGAGCTTCAGTCAGGTAGGAGGAGCCGCCGCGGGGTAGCTGCTCTGTGAGGTGGAGGTGAGGGGTAATCTCCGGCGGTGAGTGGGGCCCTTAGGCTTGGCGACGGGAATGGGACTCTCCAGTCCGTAGGGGTTCGGCCTAGCGATGGGCTGCGGGTAGGCTAGCGGGCGGGCTAGCGGGTAGGCTAGCGGACTGACCCACGGACCGCGCGCGGAACACACCCGCCTCTGCGCCTTCAGAGCGGGCCCGAGGGTCTCATGCTGGGTGTTCTGGTCCAGAGGCCTGGAGCGGGGGGTGGTGGCTCAGGGTTGAGAGCCGGGAAACGTGCAGCCATTTGGGGGCTGGAAGGAAAGCGGAACAAGCAAGCAGTTGATAATTGGAGGGAAGGGGGATGCTCTCAACTCTTGTAGAGTGGTCACTGTTTGGGCTTGTAAGCTTTGAATAAAAGTGTTCGCGCACTCATTGAACGTAGTTTTAGGACCGAAAACGCTTTGAAGGGTGGAAGCATTTTTTCTTTTTTAAAAGATTTTCTGGATTTAACAGGACTGGTTTACGCCCTTATGAATAATCATGATATATTACCGAATGGTCAATTTTTAACAAAGTGTATTCATGCTTGTGAAAGAGATTTGATCACTTTGGACCAAACTAAATTAGCTTGCTGAATACCAGTTTTTTCTAGCTGGACAAAAGCAAAATTTTTTCACCATTTCCTTTAACTTTTGTTCATTGAAGCAATGAAAGAAAATGAAGAAAACAAGATAGGACTGCTGCTCATCTCTGGGCTAATTGGGAATGGGACTGACCCAGGAATTGAATAAATAGTACATACAACTGAGGTTGGAAACCCCAAGTTCCACTTAAAATTGGAGTATCCCAGAGAAGGAAGTACTAGTGGGCTAGGGGCCAGTTAAAGGTAAAAAGAAGATGTTACTTTCAGAGCTTAATTTAGAAGGGTGTCCTGATCCTCCCTTATGAAAATAGAAAAATCCACTGCAAGATATATTAGGTCTGGGCAGTCTTGGAGAGGAGGCTGTTGTCCTTTGCTTTTCCTTTGGGTGTATGTCTCTGTGGTCTGGGAGGAATATCAAAAGAACCAACAGATTTCCCAGATATTTTGGATATGTAGTCCCAGTCCATTTGACAGTATGACCTTAGGCCCCAGTCTGTCGCCAGCTACCCATGTAAATTTAGGTTATTTAACTGAGGCCCAAGCTTAAGTTTTTCCATTTGTGAAATGAGGTAATCTTTGATTGTGTAGGAGTCTGTGAATCCATGTGTGGAATCTTCATTTTAGTTGAGAGTGGACCATTTTAAGTTCACCCTGTGTCCAGGAATAGCCCTGGAGCCAAAATGAGAGATGAGTTGGGGTAATCTGCCATCTGCCCTGGAGTGGATGATGCAAATTGGGCAGGATCTTGTAGGTAATGCCTACCACCAGGACTTATTGTACCATTCTTTTCTTTTCTTTCTTTTTTTTTTTTAAAGATTTTATTTATGTATTTGACAGAGAGAGACACAGCGAGAGAGGGAACACAAGCAGGGGGAGTGGGAGAGGGAGAAGCCGGCTTCCTGCCGAGGAGGGAGCCTGATGCAGGGCTCAATCCCGGGACCCTGGGATCATGACCCGAGCCGAAGGCAGACGCTTAACGACTGAGCCACCCAGGCACCCCTGTACCATTCTTTTCTTTCTCAAACATTCTTTGTTGGGGTTCAGAACGAGGCAGACCTGTTAGTTTAAGGTGGCAGTTTTTGAAGCAAATGGTCCTTGAAAGAATCCTTATGCTTGAAAAATATTCCTTAATTTTGTAGACATGGATTTAGATGCTATTAGAGAATACTCAGCATTACATGCCAAACCCAGTGGACTCGTTCTTCAGTATGGGACCGCTGGCTTTCGAACGAAAGCAGAACATCTTGATCATGTCATGTTTCGCATGGGATTATTAGCTGTCCTGAGGTCAAAACAGACAAAGTCTACAATAGGAGTCATGGTAACGGCATCACATAATCCTGAGGTAATGCCTTTAGTGCTCTTATTAAGCAAACCTTTATTTACAATAACACATCTTAGTGTCTGAGCAGTTTGACCCCAAGTACAAATTCTAATTCTAGGAATGTGCCTACTCGGTATGTGCCTTTGGATTTGAAATGGCTTTTTCTTAAAGATTAATTTATTTTAGAGAGAGAGATAGAGAGTGCATGCGAGGGAAGGGGCAGAGGGAGAGGGAGAATCCCAAGCAGACTGATCATTGAATGTGGAGCCAGACACCAGGCTGGATCCCACAAGCCGGAGACTACACACAACCCGAGCTGAAATCAAGAGTCAGGCACTTAACCGACTGAGCCACCCAGGCGCCCCTGAAATGGCTTTTTCTTGATGAGTGTTCATTTAGCTCATGACTGTAGAGGGTGTGGAGAGAATGAAATTGAGAGTCATTTCTTGGACTGTGTCCATATTAGAGAAATAACAGAATGTCCTTCCAAGTTAGTTGTATTGAGACAGTATAAGTAACAAAAAGTATTACTTATGTTAATTTGGTAGAGATTAGAGGGATTGGAGCCAAGGTGGGGAGAAGGGCAAACATTTTGAAAAGTTTTTAGACTGGTTTTCTTTTCTTTTTTCTTTTAAAGATTTTATTCATTTGAGAGAGAGAGAGAGAGAGCACACGAGCGAGAGACCACAAGCAGGGGGAGCAGCAGAGGGAGAGGGAGAAGCAGACTCCCCACTGAGCAGGGAGCCTGATGTGGGGCTTGATCTCAGGACCCTGAGATCGTGACTTGAGCCGAAGGCAGCCACTTAACTGACTGAACCACCCAGGCACCCCTAGACCCGTTTTCTGTAGTTAGGGAATATTAGGGAAGAGTTTCCTGTTCTGAATGAACAGCCAAACAGGTGGCTCCACGTATACAAAAGTGAGCTTTGGGCAGATTATTGATGAGGCCTGATGATTCTAGTGTTATGAGAATTACTTTTTTTTTTTAAAGATATATTTATTTATTTTAGAGCGAGAGAGTGTGTGAGCCAGGGAGAGGCAGAGAGAGAGGGAGAGAGACTCTCAGGCCGACTCCCTGCTGAGCGCAGGGCCTGATGTGGGGCTTGACGCTGATCCCATGACCCTGAGATCATAACCTGAGCCAAAACCAAGAGTTGGACCCTCAACCAACTGAGCCACCCAGGTGCCCCCAAATTTTTTTAGCAAAGTATTCTTTTTGACATAGTTTAACTGTTTTATTATGTATTGCCTGTAGCTCACTAATATGTGGTTTGAATAACATGCCTCTGATTGCAAAAGCGTGAGACTTTTGCCTTTGTAGCTAAATCAGCAGCAAGTTAAAGCTATGTAGGTCTGTGAAGGATTATAACCTCCTCTTCCCCCCACACAAGAGGACATTGCTTGTCCAGCTTGTAAATGTGGATCATTATAAATGTGTAAGTGTCTGAATGTCTAAATCACCACAATTAATGACTTGTGGGCTGAAGCCTATATTTATTGCTAGGTCTAGAATTACTTCTTAAAACAATACTGAACTGTTTTCTTCAGTTGACATTCACTCTGAACTACACTTTATTTCTTCCCCAAAATTTGAGCAGAACAGAATTGGGAGTCAGTTTTCAGCTTTTGTCACCCGCTGGTTGATATATTGGCCAGTATGTTCTTAAAGAGTCCAGTGTCATAGTGAGGAGGATCTCTGGGTGCCTTCATTCTACTCCATTTGTGCCCTGGTCATGTAATTGGTGAATGCACAGATGACAACCTTTTTAAAAAACTAGTGTAGCATAGTGGCTGGTGGGTTTAAGAGTCATGTAGACTTGATGTTTTAATACCAGCACTGACACTGTATGAACATAAGCAGATTACTTGCTCTGAATCTGTTTTTTTTTTCAAAGTAAGATTGGAGTAAGAATAGCATCATTCATAGGATTGATGTTTGTTACGAGGATTTATATAAAACACCTAGTCCAGTGCCTGGCATTCCATACGGTCACAGGTAAAACCACTCACCCATCAGTGTCTTTTTTAGGGGAAAACAGCTTGAGTTTACTTCCTCAACTCACCCTTGTGAATATGCACAGATGACTTATTGTTTGCTTTTTTTTAGGAAGACAATGGGGTAAAATTGGTTGATCCTTTGGGTGAAATGTTGGCACCATCCTGGGAGGAACATGCTACCTGTTTGGCAAATGCCGAGGAACATGAGTTGCTGAGAATGTTGATGGACATCAGTGTGAAAGCAGCCGTGAATCTGCACCAAGATGCCTTCGTAGTGATTGGTAGAGATACCAGGTGACCATCAGAGTTACTGGTGAAAGCAGCTTTGGGAACTGGACCTAAACAATTGCATTAGTTTTAGTACCCATGATAAATTGAAAGAATTAAGGGGAACTAAGAGGCTCCTCCACCTACTTGGCCTTTTTATTTTTAATAGGATGGAGGTGGTAATCCGCTCCTGCATCTTAGGGGTTTTGGAGTCTGAACCCCAACTCTAACACTGTATGACTGGGTAGGTTACTTAACCTTTGGAGCTTCCATATGTCCATCTATAAAATGTTGATGTTAAAGCCCAACTCAGGGCTTTTGTGAGGATTACATGAGATAACGTATGCAAAATACCTATTTCCTGACCCGAGAGAAGTACTTAACATATGTCTCCCACCCCTTTACTTCTATAGATTTACTATTTTCTCCTATAAAGTAAGAACACGTGATTGTAATTCAATATTTATAGAGATTTACCTCATCTACATTATTGTTGGTTCATATATTTATATCATTTTCCCATGCTGGAGTTCACTGGAAAACATTAACAATATATTATTTCACATACAGTAGCTCCCCCTGCCCCTTATCTGCCGGGGATACATTCCAAGACCCCCAGTGGATGCCTGAAACCATAGATAGTACTGAACTCTCTATATACCATATTTTTCTCTATACATGCATAATTATGATAAAGATTAATTTTTAAAGATTTTATTTATTTATTTGAGAGAGAGAGCATGAATGGGGGGAGGAGCAGGGGGCAGGGAGAGACAGAAGCCCAGGCAGACTCTGCGCCCAGCACTGAGCCTAAGGTGGGGCTTGATCTCAGGACCCCGAGATCATGACCTGAGCCAAAATCAAGAGTCCAGATGCTTAACAATGACTGAGCCACCCAGGTGCCCCTATGATAAAGATTAATATATAAGTTAAACACAGTAGGAGATCAACAATAAATAATAATAAAGTGGAACAATTGTAACAACATACTATAATAAAGTTATGTGAGTGTAGTCTCTCTCTCAAAATACCTTATTGTACTGTACTCCTTCTTCTCTTTCTTGTGATGATGTGAGATGATAAAATACCTGTGTGAGAGAGGATATGAGGTCATGTAATGTTAGGTTCCTGTTGACCTGACAGTATGTCAGAAGGTGGCTCTTCGGCTTCTGGACTACAGTTGACCTCAGGTAACTGAAACCATGGCCAGCGAAACCGTGGACAAGAGAGGGCTACTTGTCATATTTGGCAGCTTTTGCCTTCCTTTACAAAAAGATATTATTGTAAAATGTTAGATTAAAAGTGTACTTTGAAACAGAAGCATTCTCTTTACTGTAAGATTTCATTTTAGCCAGAGATTCTTTCTAAAGGAAATTTCTAGTCATAGTCTTAATGATAGGACATTAGGACAATGTCTGGTGTTTTATCCTTAATGTGTTACCAGAGAGACTTCTAAATACCATTGATTGTGGATTTATAAGTATCAGAAATAGCCTAGTGACTTATGTTCTGAAACAAATTATCCTACAGTAAAACCATCCCACATGTAATTGCCTCTTACCGATTAACTAGTTTAAATGATATAGAACATCATTTTCTACAAGGCAGTTATGATCTCCTTTATTTTCAGATAGATAATTTGTTCTGACTTTTTCAAATGAAAAATAGGTTCTGTGTCCTTGGTAGTTTAATACCCAGTACTGCATTATGCAAAGTGTTTGCATTCAGTATTTATTGCTACTATTTTTAGGTGTTGTATATGGTGTTACAGTCAAACTTGAAAAGGTTTTTGGGTATGGTGTAGTTAGTGTATTTTTATATTTGTTTTCTAAATTCATTTAAAAGCCAAACTCTTTCCAAGAAATGTATTGTGAAAGGCTGCTGGAAAATGCTTATACTCTACCTCTATTATCTCTGCAGTTTTCAGACTTTACAGGTTTCAGTTCAAATACAGTGAACCTATTATCCTGAAATTTGTAGCATTTGCTTTCAGAACTAGCAACTCTTGGTTTCAGAATGGGATGTGTTATTTTCTTCCTTTTCTTTTCTAGGCCCAGCAGCGAGAAACTTTCACAGTCTGTAATAGATGGTGTGACTGTTTTAGGAGGTCAATTCCATGGTATGTAGCTATCCTGAGTTGTAAATTAAACTTTAGAAAACTTAAAAAACTTTTAAGAAAGTTGTAAAAGTAGTACCATTTATTTTAGAAAAGTTTGAAAGTACAGATAAAATAACTTTTTTAAAAATGAACTTCCAGGTACAGGGGCACCTGGGTGGCTCAGTCAGTTGAGCGTCAGACACTTGTTTTCAGCTCAGGCCAGGATCTCATGGGTCCTGGGATAGAGCCGCTTATTGGGCTCCACACTCAGTGAGGAGTCTGCTTAAAGATTCTCTTCCTCTGCCCTTCCCCCCATTTGCACGAGCATGCGCTCTCTCTACCTCTTTCTCTCTCATAAATAAATCTTTTTTTTTTTTTAAGATTTTATTTATTTATTTGACAGAGAGAGACACAGTGAGAGAGAACACAAGCAGGGGGAGTGGGAGAGGGAGAAGCAGGCTTCCCGCTGAGGAGGGAGCCCAATGAGGGGCTCGATCCCAGGACCCTGGGATCATGACCTGAGCCGAAGGCAGACGCTTAACGACTGAGCCACCCAGGCGCCCCAAGTAAATAAATCTTTAAAAAAATGAACTTCTAGGTAAAAAATACTAGCTTTTTAAATTTAAAAAGTTAAAATATTTTCTGGGTGTGCATATTTTGTTTTAGCTATAGATTATATATAAGAAATACTGATCTTTCTTTACTTTAGTAAGGCCAAATTTCCTGAAATAAACTTTAGTAAGGCCAAATTTCCTGAAATTGACGTTAACTTGAAGGTGTTCATTCTGGGGAGCTTTTGTCAATATCATGTATTCCCAAATAGCTGATCACATGTGGAATCAGCTGTTACCTATCGAATAGTGGTGGAAAATATCTTTGGCCTGCTTATAATCTGATTTTAATTTTGACAGGTAGTTTTTCCTATTTTATCAAATGAAGAATTACATGCAGGAAAATGGAGACTAGAATCCTGCTCTCACATCGGTCATGCCCCTTGTGAATGCAGTGACTCCATTTTGCTTGGAGGTGAATTTCCCTAGTATCTCCCTAGTTTCTCATTTTAAAGACTTCTTTAACCTCCTTTCCAGCTCCTCTGTGCTCGTCCTTCAGAGTTAATTTGGCCTGTTCCAGGAGCTTACTTCTCTGCTCTTCAACTCATTACTTAGGCCACTGCAGGCAAAGTCTCCGTCCTTGCCCCTTCAGTGAAGTGTCTCTCTCAACACTCACCT